TCCCTCATTCCTATCTCTGTCCAAACATGTCATAGCTGCTGCACCAGTCAGGGTCCTCACTCTGTTCACACTCTCTTCTCATCTCTGTCTCTCGGTGATGTCAGTGCAGCAACTCTTGGAGGATGGAGTTGACCCCTGCGCTGCGGATGACAAAGGCCGTACAGCCCTGCACTTTGCCTCCTGCAATGGCAACGACCGCATTGGTGAGTAGGAGGAGGTGTTCATGATCCAGCGTCCTCAGGGAGGGAGAGCAGAGGAATCCAATTCAATTCTGCATCTATGTAGAATCAGGATTTCTGTTGCAATCCATGGCGCGATACACACTACTTAAGATCATCGCAGACTTGAGAGGCAAAGGGAAGAGACTGAAATTGGTCCGTTTCATTGTTTCTAGTGCAGTTGCTTCTGGACCATGGCGCAGACCCAAATCAGAGAGATGGGTTGGGGAACACTCCATTACACTTGGGTAAGTGTCTGGAACCTGAAATGGTATCTTCTGTAACCTTTGTAAACAAAGGTAAAGAAATCCCACCCATTTCCCTTTTTACACCTGTGCATCCTGGCAACCAGCGCCTATTCTTGAAGACTTGGGAGGGATGCTCTTTAGATCCTGTTTGCTCTGTTGTTTTTAACTGAAGCCTTCAGGGTCCCAGGCTTCCCAGAGGGAAGTGTATCACCTTCTTCCTGCTGGCTCTGATGAAGAAGAAACTATCCAGATGGAAGTAAATTTCTGGGCTGACTTCAAATGGAAGTGCTCCTGTGTGCAACTACAAAGAGCCCTGTCAGATGTTGAGTGTCTGTGCCCAGCAGGCTCTGGACTAGAGCAGAATCCCTTTCACTGAGTTGTGTGTCTTGTTTTTCCTCCCCAGCTGCCTGCACAAATCACGTTCCTGTCATCACCACGCTGCTCCGCGGAGGTAACACTTCCTCTTCGCAAATTATAAAAAGTTACCACCTTCTCCATGATGTTCCCAGAGGACGCTGCCTCTTTAAAACCAACCTCCCTCTCTCTCTTGCTCTTTGCATCTTTCAGGGGCCAGAGTAGATGCCCTAGACCGAGCTGGGAGGACACCTCTGCACCTGGCCAAATCCAAGCTGAACATCCTGCAGGAAGGGCTCTCTCAGAGCCTGGAGGCTGTGCGCCTTGAAGTGAAACAAGTAAGAACCATTCCTGCTGTCTGCTCCTCCAGGGAATCTGTGTCTCAAGCACTGACATTCTGCCCTACACCCCCTAGGGAAAAGATCTCAAAGGTCCACCCTGAGCCTTGCAGCATATCAGGCTACTATGGCTAAGGCATACCAGTTTCTCTAGGCAATGGCACATGAGGGAGTGAAGTGGCTAGCATCACATCCAGCACAATAGTTGAACACAACTCTAGAACTGTAGCAAGGTGCCTTAGCCAGGCTGCCACTGCATCCCTGTAATAGGGGTAATGTTTAGTAACAGGTTTAATAGTCTGTTAGGGTGCACACCATATAGCCCACAGGCTGCCCCCTCAAAATTTTTTATTAGGATGTGGAAAGCAAATGAGTCCTGCATCCATGCTATGCAGCCATTTGCTAATCTGTTCATGCATGTGTATGTATAGTTCAGCTTTGTGCTTGTAAAGATAAGGGCTCCTGTGTGAGCAGAGTAGATTCCACTGTGACAGCCCTCTACTGGAATGTGTACCCAGCAAGTGGCCCTCAGTGAAGTCTGAGCTGCTCATTCCTGCCTTAGGATCTCTACTCTGATGTGGTCCCTGACCTTCCTCCTTCCTCACTTTGACAGCTCCTCTGCACCCTGTTTGGAGAATCTTTCCTTAAATGCTTCCACTGAGTTTTTGCAGGGTCTCTCCAGTGGTGTAGGCCCAACTGCACTGAACACGAAACTGTTCCAGGTCTCAGTGCTCACACTGTCTGGCTGACAGACAGGAGAGAAGACTCTGTAGAACTGTCCTTGGATGTTTCCAACACAATCAGTCAGTGAAGGACTAGTGCACAGTTAAGAATTGCTCTGCATTGGCCACAGCACTGCATTGGCCACAGCACTGCCATATTGACTGCTTCCCAAGGTGACCCTGTATGGCTGCTTCATTCTAACAGCTATATGTGGGCTAGCA